GCCTGCGAAACTTGGAACGGCCTCGAGTCCAGCGATCGCGGCTGATGGCACGGCGAGGGACGGCAGATACCTCGTCTCCCCCGGCGACCTGCCCCCGAACTGGCCACCAGCTCCTTCCGAAAATGTTTAAACAAGGGAAGCATCTGGCGTCCTCCTGCTTTCCTGAAACTTTCACGGCCGCGAAGTAGGAGTTGCGGGGACAGTGCAGCCAGTGAAGACCGAAAGGATCCACGCCGCTGGGCGCGCCTTCGCGAGCGGTAGATCCCGGCGGCGAGCCTGCAGAGACTAAAACCAGGAGGTGAAAGTTTGCTGGGAAACTGAAAATGGAGGGTACACGCTGGGAGGACCCGGTCCCGCCAATCTTCGTGTCAGGAAGTGCCACCCGCCCTGGATTCCGGATTCAGGCCACGCTGAGCCTGGACCCGGGCTGGCCTCTAACACCATTTAGAAGCAGGCGCAGTGACCAGGTCTGGTGGACACGCTGGGAAACACAGGGCCCAGTTATTCAGTAAATAAACGGCAGAAAGGTGACCGGACGGAAGGGTCTGGTTTTAAAAATGAAGAGCCACAATAATCAAATGCAAAGCCAGTACCTTGTTCGCATGGGAAATCAAACAAACCAAGTCTACGCGGACATTTTTTGAGACAACCAGGAAAATAAAACTTCTTTTTGCCAGTCGAATTTGTGGAAAATTGGGGCCAGCCAATAATACATTTTGGAGGTGAGGAAACAGCAGTTGGCATAATGGCTATGTTGCTGAACTCCCATGTAGCTGACGGTGGCTCAAGTCCCGGACCGGTGGCTTAAACTCAGGCCGGGCGCCAGTGCCTATGTGCCCAAGAGCCCCAAGGAGAATGGAGGAGAAGGGATTGCAGCATGGCCATCCGCCCTGGGGGGTGGTCAGCCACGTGGAGTCCAGGGCCTTAACCACCACACCCCCTGATGACCCCATATTTTTTAAGCAGATACTTTTTTCTTCCATAGAGACAATGTAGCTATGTTATCCAGGCTGGCCTCAAACTCAAGATAGTCCAACCTCTGCTTCCCAACTACAGAGACTACAGTAGGCCCCACTATGTGTGACCGACTTACTTTCAAGTCACATAAATATATTTAAAGAAGGAACTTTCTATCACAATCGTAAGCCACGAAATCCATGGAATTGCGTTTGATATGGTAATCACACCTTGAAAACTCCACGGAAGGGCCGCCCCATGGCCCGGTGGTTAGGGAAGCGAGCGCCCACATGCCCAACCATGCGGTTTGAAGAATGCACTAGATGTGTTGTATGTGTGCCCAGGATCCAAACAGGATGGGGGGGGGGAGAAGGGATTGCAGTGTAACCATGCCCCATTCCCCTCGTCTCTGTCTCTCTAGCATGCTTATACTCTCGCTGGTAAAAAGTTTAAAAATAAGTTCATTTAAATTAATATATAACTTTGGGGCTGTCAGGTAGCATGATGGTTAAGAGCACTGGATTCTCACATGTCGACCGTGGTTCAAGTCCCCAACAGCTTGCTTTTTCACTTTCCCTCTTTCTCTCTCTTTGTCAGTTTCTGGTCAAATTAAAATAAATAAATAAAGCTTAGGGACCGGCAGTTGGTGTAATGGTTATATGGCTATGTTGCTGGGCTCCCATGTAGTCGACTGCAGTTCAAGTCCCAGACCCAGTGGCTTAAACTCACGCCAGGCATGTGTGCGTGTGTGCCCAAAATCCCAAGAGAATGGAAGAGAAGGGATTGCGACGTGGCCATCCCCCCTGGGGGATGATTTCTCGCTTTCTGTCTCTGTCTTTCTGGTGAGCGCATGCACCCTATAGCAAAAGAAAAAAAAAAAAAAACTCAAATAAATAAAGTTTAAAAATAATTTTAAAAATTAATACATAACTCAAAATTTTTAGAGGTTTTTGTCTTAGGGCACATGTGGTCGCTGAGGAGAAAGACAGAGACAGTGAAAAGAAAGCGAGAAATCACCTCCCAGGCAGGATGACCACGCCGTAATCCCCCTCCATTCTCCAGGGATCTTGGGCATGCGTGCACACATGCTCATTGTGGTTTTTCAAGCCACCAGATCTGGTACCGGACCATAATCGGCCATGTGGGAGTCTAGAGACATAATCACTACACCACCCGCTGGCCCCAATAACTTTACCTTTTTAAAATTTCATCTTTTCTAAATCGTAAAATAACTTCCAGCTCACCTTTTGGTACTTTAATGGCTTCTATTTTGTGATCTAATTTAAATGTTTGCCCTTAACAAATTAATGTTTCTACCAGAAAGAAACGTGGTACAATATAACTGTCCTTCTCACACAATAATTACAAGATTCGGAAGCTGCTTGTTCCCGGGGTGCCGACGTGCGACCCGGTAGTGAGGGTGTAAACTGTCTACTAGCTGCCTCCTCCTGTTAGCGCTTCTCTCTGTCCTTGGGACCGAAGCAGTTGGGGCCTTCGTACAGTTCTTGTAGGACTATCAGAAAATGCAAATGCGGGGGCCAGCAGGTGGCATGGGGATGGAGGCGCAGGACTCCTACATGGTCCGGGTTCAAGTCCCGGACGTGGCAGCTTGCTTTCTCACTTCCCTTTGTGTGTGTGTGTGTGTGTGTTTCTGGTGACTGCATGTGCCCTATCGCAAATTAAATAATAATAATTCTTTTTTAAATAATTATTTATTTTATTTATTCATTTATTTTTTTTTTAATTTGACCAGAGAGAGACAGGGTGACAGTGAGAGAGAGAGGAAGTGAGAAAGCAAGCCACCAGATTCAGGACTTGAACCCTGGTTGGCCATGTGGGAGCGTCCAGCGCCTTAACCACCACACTACCTGCTGGTCCCAATAAAAAAATAATTCTTTAGAAAAAGAAAATGCAGGGCCAGCTAGTGGCCTGGTGCCTAAGGGCGCTGGACTCCCTCCCACATGGCCAACCGCGGGTCAAGTAACAGACCTGGTGGCTTGCTTACTCGCTTTCTCTCTCTTGCTCTCTCTCTGATCAAATTTAAATAAATAAATAAAGTTAAATAAAATAATTCTTTAAACAAAACAAAAATAAAGAAAATGCAGATGAGCAAAACAGGGTAGAGGAAGGAGTTTGAGGAGCGAGGTGACAGCTTTAAAATTTCCAAAACGCCCTCACCCAAGCGGCCAAGTCAGTTCAGCATCACTAGGGCGATGCAAGCTTAGACAGAGGTCGGGTAACCACCACACTACCTGCTGGTCCCAATAAAAAAATAATTCTTTAGAAAAAGAAAATGCAGGGCCAGCTAGTGGCCTGGTGGCTAAGGGCGCTGGACTCCCTCCCACATGGCCAACCGCGGGTCAAGTAACAGACCTGGTGGCTTGCTTACTCGCTTTCTCTCTCTTGCTCTCTCTCTGATCAAATTTAAATAAATAAATAAAGTTAAATAAAATAATTCTTTAAACAAAACAAAAAAAAAGAAAATGCAGATGAGCAAAACAGGGTAGAGGAAGGAGTTTGAGGAGCGAGGTGACAGCTTTAAAATTTCCAAAACGCCCTCACCCAAGCGGCCAAGTCAGTTCAGCATCACTAGGGCGATGCAAGCTTAGACAGAGGTCGGGCCTGGCTCACCCTGGGCTTGTACGCAGGTGCCTGCGGTGACGTCAGCCCCCGCCTCTCTACAGGACCCGCCCCCAGGCCCCGCCCCCCCC